GAGTACAATGCACCACTGTGGTCTTTCTTTCCTTCCTTCTTTCTTAGCTCCCACTTATGAGCGAGGACATGCAGTATTTTTCCCTCTGTACCTGGCTTGTTTCACTGAACATAAGTTTCTCCAAGCTCATCCATGTTGGCGCAAATGGCAGAATTTCATTCTTTTTTATGGCCAAGTAGTATTCCATCATGTATATATATCACATTTTCCTTATCCAGATGTCCATGGATGGACACTTAGGTTGCTTCCACATCCTGGCTATTGTAAATAGAGCTGTGATGAACATGGGTGTGCAGGTATCCCTTCGGCAAGATGATTTCCATTTCTTTGGGTATACACATAGAAGCAGGATTGCTGGATCATATGGTAGATCTATCTCTGTCATTGTCTGAGAAACCTCCATACTGTTTTCCAGAGTGGTTGGACTAATTGACAGTCCCACCAACAGTGTAAGAGTGCTCCCTTCTCTCCACATCCTCACCAGATTTGTTATTCTCCATCTTTTTTTTTTTTAAAGATGACTGGTAAGGGGATCTTAACCCTTGTCTTGGTGTTGTCAGNGGTCAGTGAAATTAATTTCATTTAAATACAGAATACTTCCTGAAACAAGCTCTCTGACCTGAAATGAGAAATGATTCCTGGATGAACACACATAGTAGACCCATAGGTAAGTAACATCAGTTATAGAAACTTGATTTTATTTTTGAGCCACAATGCTTTAAACAAACAAAAACTTTGAGTACATAAAATGTTCCTCTCTGAAAAATTTAAAACATCTACCTTGAACTCAATCTTGCTTCCGAAGTAAATTATTTTAGGCAGCTGAATTTGAAGTTAAACACATAAGAAAATCTTATTAACATACCTGTAAACATATAATGCTAAAAGATAACCACCTCTCATTCTGAGATATGTATTATTAAATTATTTAGTTTGTTGTATAGTAACAAGATTGCATAATTGATAAGATTTTCCTTAATATGCTTTATTTAAATTTTAAAAATTTGTGAATTATAATAAGTACAATAACTAAAAAATATTGTTTCTACATCTGCATCTTTTTTTTTTCCTTTTTGTCTTTTTTCATGACTGGCAACGGATCGCAACCCTCAGTGTCGCGCCCGTACCGGACCGGGACCGGCAACGGGATCGCTACCCTCGGTGTTGCGCCCGCATCTTGCTCAGCCAGTGAGTGGCCGGTCTGTATGTGGGATCCAAACCCTCGGCGGGAGCGTCGCCGCGCTCCCAAGTGGCATATTGTAGCAGTGCGCCACCGGGCTGGCCCTACATCTGCATCTTTAAAGGTTATTCAAAGTTATTAGAAATAAAACATTTTACTCATTTTTTAAAAATTTTATTTATTTTTCCTTAATTTTATTTTGTCAATATACAATGAGATTGATTATTGTGGCCCATTACCGAAACCCCCCTCCCTCCTCCCTCTCCCCACTCCCACCCAACAATGCCCTTTCTGTTTGCTTGTCATATCAACTTCAAGGAGTTGGAGTTGTTAAGTCTTCTTCAGCCCCACCCCCCGGTTTTTTTGTGTGTGCGTGTGAATTAATTAATCTATTTTTTGCTCCCACCAATGAGTGAGATCAATAGTATCAGGATGCCCATTACCATGAATTGCGGTTTTTCCCAATGTCCCCCACTCAATCCCTGACTTCCTTTCCCCTCTCCCCCCACACAATCCTATGTATGCTTTCTGTCATCTGTGAGTACAATGCACCACTGTGGTCTTTCTTTCCTTCCTTCTTTCTTAGCTCCCACTTATGAGTGAGGACATGCAGTATTTTTCCCTCTGTACCTGGCTTGTTTCACTGAACATAAGTTTCTCCAAGCACATCCATGTTGGCGCAAATGGCAGAATTTCATTCTTTTTTATGGCCAAGTAGTATTCCATC